CCTGGTATTTCTTTTTGCACCAATGCAAATCCAGCACATCTCTCTCTCTGTTCTTTTATACTTTACAATACACTTCACAGAAATCCCTTGACATGGGTAAACCAATATCACACTCATTTTATAGATTTGGAAACGGGTTCAATGAGATAGAATGATCTGCCCCAAATCTAGAGCTAGTTATCGTAGAGCTGGAGCAGGGACTTCAATTGTTTGGATCCTGGTACAGTACTCCCTCGACTTCACAGTTTCTCCCTAATGCCACAAAGATTAGGTTACCCTCGCCTAGCCTTCCTCTGCCACGGTTCAGTGTCGGTGGCCTCCCTTTGCCCAGGTGGGAGCTCCTACAATAGGAGCAACCTGAGGTCACCTAGAAATCAACGAAATCTGCTCGGCCCCAGCGCCCCCTTCTCCGGCCAGAGTCAGGAGCGAGGTTTCCCCGGACAACCTAACAGCTGAACTTCTGGGGTAGGGACGACAGAAGCCCGAGCCTTCGCTTGGGCTTGGTGGCCGGCTCTTGTCCGGCTGGGAGGCTCGGAAGGACGCGGGCGCTGGGGGCTCAGCCGGGCAGGGCGGCTCGATCCGCACCTTGAAGGCCAGAGTGGTGGTTCCATGAAGCATTTCAATTCGCGGCTCTTCTGGGACACCCCAGCCGGGCGCAGCTAGGCTCAGCCCATCACTGGAACTCCCTGGTCCTAGGTCCAGAAGATCTGCACGACCCCCAAGTCCGAAAAACCCGCGCCGATTCACCGGTAGCGGCTTCTCCAACACGCTGGCCAGCGCCATGTCTAATGAGGGCAAAAAAGAAAAAAAAAAAAAAAAGGAAGAAAAACTTAACTGAGAACGCCTACCAAAGAACAGTCGTCACAGCTTCGCTTCCAATTAAATCTATTCCCAGAGAAGAGCCATTTTGACTCCTGGCAGCCCCGCCTCCAAAAACTAGAGCCAGACGTAAGGGATGATTTTTTCACCGAGAGGCGGGAGATGGCTTCACAACCTTTGTACTCTAACAGGATGGGGCTGCCATCTTGACTTTGGTCATGAAAGCATTACTGGATCGGATCAACTTCAACTTCCTGGGAAGTGGCTGAAAACGTCCTTGTTACGTGAGGGAAGCAAGGACGGCCATCTTTAAGAAGGGCGTGACTCTTTGAAAATAGCTCTGGTCTCTCAGCAATAAGTCATTCCCATCCAGCCCTGAGTCAGGACTGCTCGTCACAGTCCTATTTCTTCAGCACCCTGTTAATGAAACTGAGATTGCCATTTTGTTTCAGGGCACCCCCTAATACTGGGTAAAATAATTATCTATTCTGAGGGCATTTCCCTGTTGTATTAGTTAAACCACAATAGTTTGTGGTAAAAAGCATAACAGAATAAAAGTGCTATGCCTCTTGTTCTTTGATAGCGTTACTCGCTACATCACAACTATTATTTAACAATAACCAATTTTTAGATTCAGTATTCTCTTTATTTATACCTGGGCATGGAGATTTTAAGTAATGGATTGCCTAAAAGACAGATATAAAAATAAAGAAAAGCAAAAAGGGCTCCGTAAATCCACAAACTAGAATATCATTTTAGCACCTGGATAATTGAGTCAATAGTAATTTACTATCTCAGCTCCTGGAGGAGAGTTGAGACTCCATTAAGATGTACCAAGAGATTCTCTCAGTCAGCTTACCAAGAGGAGGCTCTTTTTCAGGAATGCATTTCATCCTGTTTCCTCCCTTTATCCACCTTGATTTTTCAACTCTTGGAAACTATAACAAGTCAGGAAGTGGCCATATGTATGAAAAGTTTCCTTCTGCTTTATGGTTCCATGAAATCAGTGTCTGGGCTTCCTTTTGGATTCTAGCAGCAACATCTTATCAACATCTAAATTTTACTTTCCTCTGATGCCCAACTCAGCTCCTCCTTTCCTGAACAGACTCTGTATGTGCTGTATTATTAATACTGAAATTGGACAACCTTTCGGAGCTCAACCATCAGAATATAATTAAGCAGGAGATCTTTATCTGTCTCACACATGGATATTGTGGAAAATGCAAAGTATTTCTGTTTATTGAGCACTTATTATTTTGCAATCACCTCTGCAATACAACTAGTCCTCCTTCTGATTTCTTTCACTCTCCACTAATACCATCTGTACCTCTCTTGAGACACTTTTGCATTTTACCTGGCTAGAAGTGTGCATTCAGTCGCACACAGTGGCACATGCCTGTGATTCCAGCTGTTCAGGAGGCTGAGGCAGGAGGATCACAATTTCAAAGCCATCCTGGGCAAGTTAGTAAGACCCTGTCTCAAGATAAAAACTTATGAAAGGACTGAAGATGTAGCTCAATGATAGAGCACCCCTGTGTTCAATTCCTAGCACTGCAAAAAAAATGTGCATTTATCTCTTATGGATTGTGAGGTTTTAAAGACTGGAATTTGTTCATTATTGATCTCTGTGCCCACTGTGTGCTCAATATACCTTTGCCAATTGAACTCTTGAAAAGAATGACAATAATGTTTTTCCAGTCACAGGCTTGAAGCCCTGGCTTATCTTCAACAACTCCCATTCCTTTCCTTCACATCCAGTGAATTGTCAGGTCCTTTTGATCCTCCCTCTGCAATGTTTCTCACATTCTTTTTCATTACATCTGATATTGGAGGCTGAGGATATAGCTTGGTTGATAGAGTGCTTGCCTCCCATGTACAAGGCCCTGGGTTCAATCCCCAGTACCACCTCTCTCTCTCTCTCTCTCTCTCTCTCTCTCTCTCTCTCACACACACACACACACACACACAAATCTGATATCACCTTGGCTTCTTATTTCCTCACACTTGAATTACTGAAAAATTCTTCTGACTGATTTTCTGGGCCTAAACTCTCACTCTTTAATTCAATAGGCAATACATCACCTTGATCTTATTACTTACCTGCTTAGAAATGTCCTCCAGACCCAGGAGGTTGAGGCAGGAGGATTACAAGTAAAAGGCCAGCCTTAGTAATTTAGTGAGGCCCTAAGAAAATTAGTGAGACTCTGTCTCAAATAAAAAATAAAAAGGCTGGGGATGTAGCTCAGTAGTAAATTACCTCTAGGTTAAATGCCCAGTACCAAATAAATAAATAAATCCTATAGTCAGATATTATAGCACATGCCTGTAATCCCAGCTATTTGGGACATTGAGGAAAGAAAATAGAAATTCAAGGCCAGTCTAGGTAAATTAAAGAGACCCTGTCTCAAAATGAAATGTTAAAAAAAAAACATTGAGGACTGGGGTTGTGGCTCAGTGGTAGAGCGCTTGCCTAGCATGCGTGAGACACTGGGTTCGATCCTCAGCACCATATAAAAATAAAATAAAGGTATTCTGTCTACCTACAACTAAAAATAAATAAAAATAAATGTTAAAAAAAAATTGGGAATGTAGCTCAGTGATAGAACCCTTGCTTAGTGTGTTTGAAGCCGTACGTTCAATCTCCAGTACTGGGGGGAGAAAAAAAAAGGTCCTATAAAGTTCATACCTTCAACATGGTAATGAAAGTCTCTGTAATCTGTTCCTGACCTACCTTAGATTACTTCTTTTCTCCAAGGTCACTACTTATGGAGGGACTCTACAAAGGAGAAGTACAAATGATAAGTGCTATAGTTCAGAGATAGGGAAGGAGGTCAGTATCGATTGCTGTGAGGTTGGGGGTCCAAGATGGCTTTGTAAAGGAGGTCTGGTTCCCACTGCTTCTCAAACAAACCCACAGCCTCTCCTCTTGGCCCATATCAGATAATGTTTCTGTCTAGGGAGGTGGCTGTCTATCTTAAAAAAAGTCCAAGACTCAGTCTTTTTATTTTTTATTTTCTAGTTACAGGTGGGCACAATATCTTTATTATCTTATTTTATTTTTATGTGATGTTGAGAATCGAACCCTGTGCCTCTCACATGCTAGGTGAGTGCTCTACCACTGAGCCACAATCTCAGCCCAGAAATGCCATTTTTAAAAAATTATTTATGTATTTATTTATTTGGTACCAGGGATTGAACCCAGGGGTGTTAACCACGGAGCCACATCACCATCACTTTTTATTTTTTATTTTGAGACAGGGTCTTGCTAAGTTGCTTAGGGCCTTGCTTAGTTGCTGAGGCTGGCTTTAAACCTGTGACCCTCCTGACTCGGCCTCCAGAGTCACTGGGATTACAGGCATACTCCACCACACCTGGCAAAGAATGCCATTCGTGTATATAGATAGGATGGTATCTTCAGCCCCAAAATGGAGGAGAATGAGACCCCCAGGTTCTAGTTTCCCTTCACCCTCATTCCTCTGTAACCTGCCTTTCTGGAAAGTATTTGAGCCGTTTTCTCTTCTGCTTGCCTCAGCTCATTTATTTTTCTCCCATCTTGGCCATTAGTTGAAAGTATGACCTAAGCCTTCGGGAGCTGAGAGTTCCCTGGTCTCATATCTCTGAAGACAGTTCCCAACATCAAGGTCTCCTGCCTCAGTGGCTCCACAACATTTTATTCTGAGTCTCTCAGAGCACTGAGTTGTCTTGACTCCTCCTAGGCTGAGAATGCTCTCAGGCTACTGACAGGCCTTTATTTGTCTTTGCATGCCCAATGTCCTATACAGGACTCAGCTAGGATCCTTCCTCTTGTGTCTGCTTTCCTTTGCAGTCACCCCAGCTCCTCTCCTCTAGGTAATTATAGGATGACAGACAGGAGACGCTGTGGGTGACTCTCAGATGCATCATGGGCAGCAAAAAGTGAAGGTCTGACTGATGGGCAGCACCCTCCCACTGCTGGAAACTCCACAGCCTCATACTATCGCCCCTCTGAGGAAGAGGAGGCTGTTCCACCAGCCAATCCCAAAGCCTGATTTGGGGTTGGGGAGAAATGAAGCGTCAGCTCACATGCTTTGCTCACCAATTCTGGCTGCAGCCCAGCTTCCCTGTAGCGTCCCTTTTTCCCTACTTGACCCCAGAACACAAATTGCTGTCCTGCTCTTTCCAACCTTCACTCAGCCTCGAGGATGGCTCTACAGGATGTGTGTAAGTGGCAGTCCCCTGAAACCCAGGGACCATCCACTCACCTGCCTCAGGCTGGTGACTGGGCTGTACCTCGTGGCTGTGACCTGCAAACCTTCCTGCAGATGCATGGCCCCAGGCTAGCCCATGGCACCACCACCCTGGCCTTCCGCTTCCGACATGGAGTCATCGCTGCAGCCGACACACGTTCCTCCTGTGGCAGCTATGTGGCCTGTCCATCCTCGCTCAAGGTCATCCCTGTGCACCAGCACCTCCTGGGTACCACCTCTGGTACCTCCGCTGACTGTGCCACATGGTACCGAGTGCTACAGCGGGAGCTGCGGCTTCGGGAGCTGAGGGAGGGTCAGCTGCCCAGTGTGGCTAGTGCAGCCAAGCTCTTGTCAGTCATGATGTCCCGCTACCGGGGGCTGGATCTGTGTGTGGCCACTGCCCTGTGTGGTTGGGACCGCTCTGGCCCTGCCCTCTTCTATGTCTACAGCGATGGTACCCGCCTGCAGGGGGACATATTCTCTGTGGGTTCCGGATCTCCCTATGCCTATGGTGTGCTAGACCGCAGCTACCATTATGACATGACCATCCAGGAAGCCTATGCCCTGGCCCGCTGCGCTGTGGCCCACGCCACCCACCGTGATGCCTACTCAGGAGGCTCAGTTGACCTTTTCCACGTGCGGGAAAGTGGATGGGAATACGTGTCACGCAATGATGCCTGTGTGCTGTACATGGAGCTGCAGAAGCTTCCAGAGCCAGAGCCAGAAGGGAAGACCAACCAGGCCCATCCTGAGTCTAACATTCCCCACAGAGCTGGGGAATGTGGAAAAATCTCTTCAGGGCCAGGGGAGCTGTCACCAGAAGACTCCAGGATGCCAGCCAAAACTGAGACACTGTGAAAAGTAGCAGAACTTGGGGAACCCATGCTCAGGGTGGGTGGTAGGGGAGGCAGCAGCGAGGAGCTCTGCTGGGAGCAGCAGCTCTGCACTGGCTCCAACCCTTTTAGGTTGCCTGCTTCATTTGTTCCAAGTCTCCACCCTTTCTTCCTCCTGGAGTTATTAAAGGTGTCTAACATGTTCCTATTGACACCCAGTGGGCTGGTCCTGCTTCTTTCTTGGCTCCAAGCTAACTCTTGGCAAACTCTTCCTGCCTGCCTGCTGCACACCAGCTGCCGTGCTAGGTGCTAGACCTTATTCTTTTCTTGCCATCCTTTTCTCTGTTTCCCCAGCCCATTCCCAGTCTCTATTCTCTCCTGCTTTGTCCTCTATCTCAGTTCTAGAGTGTTTGTCTCTTTCTCTTGGTCACTTTTTCACCCTGGTGAGGTAGGACAGCCAGCAGGGGAGCAGCTCCTGGGGCTGGTGCAGTGATGGACGTCCCTTGGTGGTGATGGGCTGTTTCAGCAGCCCTGCCCCCGGGCCTTGACTATAATAACTATGATGATTTCTCTTCTAAGTGCAGTTCTTATGGCAGCCTTTGAGGTGAAATGTTCCTCACTTAACAAAGGGGAGATCAGATTCACAGGGTTATGTGACTTGTCTGGGTTACACAATAGGTGGCAGCAAGGGGGCTTAGATCCAGCCTCCTCAAGAGCCTGTGCTTTTTTTTGGTACTGGGAATTGAACCCAGGGGCAGATTAACCACTGAGCCACATCCCCAGCCCTTTTTAATATCTTATTAGAGACAGGGTCTCGCTGAGTTGCTTAGGGCCTCACTAAGATGCTGAAGCTGGCTTTGAACTCACAATTCTCCTGTCTCAGCTTCCCAAGCTGCTGGGATTACAAGTGTTTGCCACCACGCCTGGCCCACAGCCTGTGCTTTCTGCACAGCCTCCCCTCCCAGGACCTCTGCCGGCCTTTGCTCTCTTCCCTGCAGGCTTCTGGGGAGTGATATGGAAGGAGAGAGGTGCTGGGCCCATCCCCTGCCTGTGGCTGGGGATAAATGAACCCATAGGGCCTGGAGGGGTGAACTCAGGTAAGCTGCCCCCACCCATCTCATCTGGCCAAGACCTGGAGTTATCCCTCTGAGCCCACTCCTGCTCTCCACCCTCCTGGGCTTTTCATTGCCTCTGCCAGACTTCCTCCCCCTTTTCCCCCTTTCCAGAATCTCCTTTCTGATGCTCCCTCTGGAGAATGAAGGAGGTGGCTATGTCTGTCCTATCGTGTCTCTCATGACTTCTCTCCTACTACTCAGTGGGCCCTGACCTGGATGACAGCTCCAGGAGGACCACTGCCCTTTCCAAGGCCAGGAGGGAAAGCAGGCTTGGCCTAGGGCATGGGGTCTAAAGGAAGGTGACTGAAACTTTCCTCTTACCCCACTCATAAAGCTTTCCAGCTGCTTTCTCTCCCTCCTGAACACACTGGTATCCCAGGCTAAGAATTCCTCCAAGCAGGCGCTGGCCAGACAGGAGGAAACCTCCAGACTTTGGGCCTGAGCAGGTGTCTGGTAGACAGGAAGGAAAGATCAAGGAGGCCCTGAAAGGAAAACCGTGGGGACAATGAGGGAAGACTTGTGATAGGGAAGGGGGCCACAGAAAGTTGCCCAGTATAGGGGGATGTGCTTCAAGCCAGGGTCAAAGAATCTGGCCAGTGATTTCCACAACAACCCTCTTTACCCCTTGCCCACTCCCCAGCCTCGGAAGGAGGTATTGGGTGCTGGGAATGCTGTTGCAGACTGCACACAATCTGTACCCCTGGATTTTATTTTTATTTATTTATTTTTGTTTGCAGTACTAGGGATTGAACCCAGGGGTGCTCTACCTCTAAGCTATGTCTCCACCCCTTTCTATTTTATTTTGGGACAGGATCTAAGTTGCCTGGGCTGACCTTAAATTAATGATCCTCTTGCCTCAGCTTCCCAAGGAGCTGGGTTATAGGAATGTGCCACCACACTGGCTCCCCTGAGATCTTCTGTGCCCCTCTCTTTTCCAAACTGGACAAAGCAGACTGAACCCAGGAGAGCAGAACTGGAGGGGAGTCCCCTCTTCTTGCATCTCCTTATCTTGTCTCTTATTCCCTTTTTTCCCCTCCCTTCTTTTCCCACAGTCTTGTCCATCCTCATTCACTTTGACAGGTTTTGTCCTTCCAAAAAATGAGGTATTTAAGGCCAGACTTAAGCCCATAGGTCTTGCTGACAAGTCTGTTTCCCTGTGCCTTGTCAAAACTTAGAGGAAGCCAGGCAGGACCCATGCCTGTAATCCTAGTGAGTCAGGAGGCCAATACAGGAGGATCACTAGTTGGAGGCCAGACTCATCAATTTGGTGAGATCTGGCTAAAAAAGGAAAAAAAGAAAAAAGAGTTCTGGGGATGTGGCTCAGTGGTAAAGTACCCCTAGGACTGATCCCCAATATCAGGGGAAAAAATTAGAGGGAAAATTCCTCTAAGTGAATTTTGAGTTGGGGGAGGAACTCCGGAGGGCATGGGGAGAGCTGGACAGGCAAAGCCAACATCCCATTCCAATATCTCAATACTTGGGAATGGCCATGAGTCATTTCCTCTTTGCACCAGTAATTCCTAAGTGTTTTTTTTTTTTTTTTTTTTTGGTGGTGCTGGGGACTGAACCCAGGACCTTGTACTTGCAAAGCAAGCAATCTCATTCAACCAACTGAGCATTCCACATCCCTAGTTTTTTTTTTTCAATTAATCACCCCCAAGTTATTTTTTCTTTTCTTTCTTTTTTAAAAATAATTTTTGTGTAAATTTTATCAAGGCACAAATAACATACAGTAAGATTTGCCAATTTTTTTTTTTTTTGTGTGTGTGTGTACATGGTGCTGGAGATTGAACCCAGGACTTGGTGTATGCGAGCGAGGCAAGCACTCTACCAACTGAGCTATATCCCCAGCCCCCCACCCCAAGTTCTTTTTATATTTGGTGCTGGGCATTGAACTCAGGGGTACTCAACCACTAAGCCACATCCCCAGTCCTATTTTGTATTTTATTTAGAGACAGGGTCTCACTGAGTTGCTTAGTGCCTCGCAGTTGCTGAGGCTGGCTTTGAACTCGAGATCCTCCTGTCTCAGCCTCCCAAGCCACGGGGATTACAGGCATGCGCCACCATGCCCCGCATCGGTTTATTTTTTGAGGCAGGGTCTTACAAAGTTTCTTAGGGTCTCACTAAGTTGCTAAAACTGGTCTTGAACTTGTGATCTTCTCACTTCTCTGAGTCACTGAGATTGCAGGTGCCCAGCTCCACCTTCCCCTCTTGCCAGTCCTCACATTTTCACTTTCTTGGACAGTCGATAATAAGAAGGAACGGGGAGAGTTGGTAGTAGGAGTGGGGGTGCATCCATTATCTCCTTGCTCTCCGAATGCAGTGACTCAAACTCTCTTCTAACTAGAGGGTCTTGAACTGAAATCCCCCAAGGAGAAGGAATGAGCTGGAAAGGTATAGGTTTAGGCCTCTCCTTCCATCCTTTAGTACAAAGGGAGCTCTGTCCAGAAACCTGAGTGCAGAAACAGAAGCAGGGCTCTGGATTTACAAAATAAAGTGTTTGTTTATTATGAAATTAGAGATGGAGGCCCCTCCCCTTCCTCCTTCTTTCCCCTTCCCCAGCTGCCTCCTCCTTTACTCCCCCTCTCCCTGGGGCCTGGAAAGCACACAAGACAATGCCCAGAGCTGGGATGCCCAGGGCAGGCTGACAGCTGGGCAGAGCTCCAGGGAGGCGGCCACGTGGGGGCTGGAGCTCTCCCCCTGGGAGGCAGGCTGGCTCCCTCCTTCTGCTGGAGGCCAGTGGAGCCAGGATGAGGCCATGAGTGATGGATGGAACCATGCGGGCAGGTCTGTTAGGACAGGAGCAGCAGTGAGAGGCAGAAATTAGGGAAGGGCTTCTATCCACCCCTGGCCAAGCTGTCTAGAGACACTGACCTGGGGCAGAGCATCCCCTGCAGGAGGGTGGGCAGCAGTGGCTGGAAGTTTCTCTTGCTTTTGGGATGGACGACAGAAAACCAAAACCAAAACCAAAAAAAGCCAGTAACAGGGACTCAGAGAGGGGGGAAGTGTGGGTGGGAGACAGACACAGAGCATATTTGTGGGCAAGAGAGACAGTATGTGAGAGCTTTAGAATCACAGAGACAAAACAGTCACAGAGAAAGCGGAATCACAGTGAGAGAACAGAGGTTCAGGGTCAGAGCCATAAAACCCAGACCAGGACAAAGGGAAAGTGGCACTGACAGAGATCCCTGGAGAGAGATCCCTCCAAGTGGGAGGTAAGGGCAAGGGAGCCCTGGGGAAGGAAGGAGGGACACAGGGACGGGAGGAAGCCTGAGGCTCTGGCTGCTGCGGCCTGCCTGGACCCTGTGGGGCTCACTCAGAGGACCTGTACTGGCTGCCCCACCGCGGCGGGCAGGGCCAGGGCCGGCGCTCAGGGGGCTGGGGGCTCTTTGGCCCCATATAGCTCGGCCAGGGTGCGGAAGAGCGGACCCCAGTCATCCACGGGCTCCGCGGGGCCAGGGGTGCCACCGGCCTCACTGCCAGAGCCCAGGGAGCTGAGGGAGCCGCAGGAGGAGCCCCGGCCCTCATAGCCATACACCTGCACCGAGTCGTAGGGGGGCACGCTGGGGTCCTCGTCTGCCTCACGCAGCCGCAATGCAAGCAGTTGGGCCACGTCAGCAGGACCCGGTGGTCGGGGCTGGCGCGGAGCCCGGGCCCGGGGCAGCACGTCGCGACGCACTGGTGGGCCAGGAGCTGGTGGGGCAGCCCCATCAGGGTTCTGCAGAGCCGTGATGTCAAAGGCTTCCGTGTCCTCCTCGCCGCCCCCCTCGTCGTCATAGGTGATGATGTTCTCGCGGACGTCCTCCTCCTCAAGTACCATTAGTGCTTCTTGCTTCTGCCGCCGCAGGGCCACGAAGAGCACCACTAGGGCTGCAGGAGAATGCACACAGGCCTCTGAGCCAACAGCAGG